AACACAAGGCCTTCACTGATGAGGATGGTGGATTTTCATGGTGAGAGATGACTGAACATGCCAACATGTTAAAATGTCTGTTCCTCCGGTCTTTTCCTCAGAGGTAAGGTGGTCCTAGGCTACAATGAGACGGAGCTGTGTTCCAGAGGCTCAGGCTACAACTTCATCCACGCTGCAGATATGATGTACTGTGCTGATAACCACGTAAGGAGTAAGTGGCCAAGCTTTTTGTCTTAGGAGTAAACATTAATATTCAGTCTGTGCAGATGTGTGACTGTGCTGTGTCGTACTTAGTGATAAAGACTGGAGACAGTGGCTTCACCGTCTTCAGGCTGCTGACCAAGAGTAAGACCTGGATCTGGGTCCAAGCAGTTGCCAGACTGGTCTTCAAGGCTGGGAAGCCCGACTTCATCATTGCCCGACAGAAAGCTTTGACGTGAGATTACAACCAAAGTTCTTAGACCTGAGAAGCTGGAGTGAGAGGATGAAAAACGTCTGTTTTTTTTTTTAACAGGAATGAAGAGGGAGAAGAACAGCTACGCCTCAGACGCCTGCAGCTGCCCTTTAACTTCGCCACCGGAGAGGCTCTGCTGTACGACGAAATTCCACCTGTGGAAGTCCCTGACCAGTGCTCCAGCCCCAAGCAGAGAAAGCTGGACACAAACTCCTTCCACCAGGAATCAGTTCTTGGATGCATGCTGAGGCAGGACCAGTCCATCTACTGCGAGCACAACAAAACCATCAGCTCCCTCAGCGACGTGGCCTTCCAGGACACCCACGCCACCGTCAGTGTTCCTGGAGACATTTGGCAGCACTCGGTGCCCAAACCTCCAGAGAATGTACTCAAGCCTGACACCACGGTTCAAGACATGATGGAGACCCTGCAGCAGATCCTGGGGGACTCCAACATAATGGAGGACCTTGAGGTGGAGGCGGAAGAGCTGAAAGGCTGGGAGTGCACACTGCTGAGGATGAGCAACAACGTGCCTGACGTCAGCGAGGACCTGAACGACATTCTGTCTTATGTTGAGGAGCAGCTGCAGAAGGAGGGTGGCTTCGAGGTGGTAGATCAGATGGGTGAAGTTCCAACAACGTTGTCCACTTTGGACCTCCAGTGCCCCAACGCCAATCCTGCTGTAGAACAGAACTTTACCTGGTCTCTGGAAAACCAGCTTCTACAAAGTGGAGGACAACCTGTCCCAGAGACCACCAAACTGACTCACATTGATCTCACTCAGTTAGGTTCTTCTGTTCTGAGCAGCCCAGGCCTCCACCCTGCCACCTCACAGCTCCCCGCTCCAGGTGCTCTTTCCAACATTAATGCTGGAGCACTGTTTAACCCGTCCTCGGTCAACGCCACTGCTGCACCGTCCAACACCTTGAAGACCTTTCAGGTCTCCACCAAAGAAAACAACTATGGATCGTGTGAGCAGAGCAGCCGGCATCATTCTAAACAGCTCCCCCTGCAGGGACAGACCAGGCCCCCCCACCTACAAAACAGCCTCCTGGACCGTGGTGCAGAAAGGAAGTTAAATCCTTCGTTCGACTCCCAGTGCGCCCCTTGGGGGTCATCTGTGGCCAACACAGACCAAGTCAACAACTTTGTACAAACTTACAGCCATCATATTTCAAACGTACCAGCTTTCATGGGAAATTGTCCTCCCGTGAGCAGCTTGCACGGCCACGTTTCACATCAGACCCAGAGCAGTGAACACCACCCTCAGTCCTGGTCACTGGAGCAGCAGCTGCAGCAGCACGTGTCCAGTGGCTGCTCCAACCAGACGCCTGCGCTCAAGAAGAACTCCCCACCTGCCAATGGCAGACCAATGACTCTGGAATCTACCAGTGGAACATTTCCTGTTCCCCAGGACTTAGAGCCCCCCCATGTGGTTCCACCAAGCAGCTGCAGATTCAGCAACCACACCGCCCCTGTGTCTGTCAAAGGACTTCACCTCACTCAAACGTCACCTGGTAAACAGATCAACCCACCCACCCATAACAAGATCCCCTCCAAGCCCCCCTGCTTCTACCAGGGTCTTTCAGCAGGGGGGTCAGTGCTCGGTGTGCCCACATTACCAAACAGTGAGGCTGTCATTTCCTGTCACATGACCACAGGTCTGGAGCTCAACGATCTTCTGGCTCAGCAGCAGCTGTTCGACAACTTTAGTGATCACACACAGGTAACATTTAAAAAAAAAAAAAGACATCTGTGTATGACAGACGTTGGTCTAAACAATACTCAGTGTCCAACATCTGGTCCAGGGACCATCTGTAGTATTTGTGCAGGTGTCAGGAGGTTCAGACTTCTCTCAATTTAGTTTTTTTTACAATAAAGTCAATCTATCTACTCTTTTAGTGAGGTCATTGTTATTTTTGTTAAATGTTTGTGGGGGGCCTTACTTTTAGCATTTCCTCCTATATTATTGATGAACTGGTAGACTGAGCTTCATTGTTAATCCTCCCTCTGTAAGTCGCTTCAGATAAAAGGTTTGCTAAATGCAAATGTATTATGAATTATTTCATCTTTTACAATTTGAGCTACAGTATTTGACTGGCTAACCTCTCTATATTGTAAGGTTTCCTTGGTGATGTCTTTTAGTAAATCTTCTCCTCTGTTTGCTCACATCCTCAGGTTAACAACCATTCTGTCATGGGGCCCAATGGTCACGCCTTCCACCCGCCCAATCACAACTCTTTCTACTCAGAGAACAAGCAGTAAGGAGCCGTCGTGACGTGAGGACAACAGAGGAGCAGAGGTTTCAAAGTAAAGACTCCTGTCTCTAAACGAGAAACAAAACAGCAGACGAGCAGAGCTGTGTCCAAGTGTCTTTGAATTTTTTGTTTGTTTGTTTGTTTTTTCATTCAGAAAACAGCATTTGCTGCTGTAAAACTCCAGTTAAGCTGCTTTTGGCTTTGTCCGATGAGAAGTTTCACAAAGTTGGTTTCTGTTAGAATTGGACAATGATTTTCTGACCTGGAGCTGAGTGGTTTCCACAGATAACCTAAAAAAACAAATCAGCGATTTTTCTTTTTTTTTTTTCTCCTCACAATATCAGCAAAAATGTTCAGTTTGTCTTGCACTTCTATATCACCAGATTGTGGTTGATTTTCCATTCTGGAACATTAGTCTTGGATTAAGGAGTTAGGGTGTGGTCCTTGGTGCAACCTGACACCACTGTTTAGAACACTTCATCTGGACCCGGATGATGACAACTTCCTGTCCATCCTCTTAGCAAAATAATCTCCCCTGACGTGAGCTCCCAAAAGATGGGATTTAATCTACTTAAGTTGTGACTTCATTTCAACTTAATACTGCCACCACAGAAAGGCTTACTCAGACAGGGTGTGGGGGTATATACATATATATATATGTATATATATATATGTATATATATATATGTATATATGTATATATACATATATATGTATATGTATATATATATATATATATATATGTTGGACAGTGAGACCAACGATTTATCACTGCAGTTTTCATTGATGTTTCTCTTCACTGAGCCATTTCTTCTTTTTTTTATTTCTTATTACTGCTTCATCTCTGTTTTTTTTATTCTTATATTCTGGACTGTTTTTCTTGTTTTAAAGGAAAGAACAATGCAGACGGTGCCTTACTTTAAAGCCACAGAGCTGTGTGAAACTTTAAAGGAACAGTCTGTTATAAAGCCCCTTCAAACTCCCTGGTATTTGATACTAAATGGTCAAATGTAATTGCACTATTCCCTCAAACCAATGCCAAAGTGAAGTGAAGACACTACATGTTTTCAAATTCAAAACAATCATTTTCATTCAGACCCATCCCCTGTGTAGCATAGAGTTTTGTACAAAATTTGATTTGTACTCAGTCCAACTTAGCTTTAATAAATAAATATACTATCTATTTTAATTATATTCAATTGTGAAAATAGCAGTTTTGCGCAAAGCCTTATACCTATTGTTCAGTTTTGTTGGTAATAACTTGAATTTCACACTAATTTTTCCATCAAAATTTCTCTCTTTCTTTGGTTTTTGTCCAAAGTGCAGAAGTAAAAACAGTCAAAGGCAGCTATTGTGTATCTAAGACAAAAGAGAGAGTAAAGGAGAGTAAAACAAACTTAATCATATCAAGATTTTAAAAACCAGTTACAATTCTTCTTCTAAAAGTGCCTTATTTGTAACACAGACTTTTTCTATCACTTTGAAAACATAGCACACGTTTTGGGGTAAGAAACAGCCTGACACTGCGAAAGTTGTACATAGTTTCTACAGCTAATACTGAGTCAAAAAAAAAACAATCCATTCACCATTTTGTACTTTTGTAAAACATTTGGAAACAAAAATTCTAAAAAGTATAATACAAAAAGAATGTTCCTGAAATCCAAAACTCCAATATAAAGAATTTGTGATGCTTTAAACCAAAGGGAAAAATGTAAGGTATTTTTTATACCACTTTATTTACTATATGTTTGTAGTAAATCAAAGAAATACTACAATATTGTTGTATCCAAGTTTCCGGAAAGAATGTTACTTTTTTATGTAACACTGTAAACTTCATCTGTTGGGGAAAAAATCCTTTTCCACCAAAATTAGAGAAGTTAGAGAATTTCTCGAATTAAATTTGTACAGTAATATGGAAAAAAAACTGAAAGTAAATTTAATTTACTCAGCAGTGAAAATTACAGCTGATGTTTTGAATTTCACTGTTTTTAAATTGTTTACGATCGGTTCTGTGCATGACGTAACTATTTCTCGCTTTGTCAAAACTAAACATAAACTTACTGATTTTCTTTAAAACTCATTTCAGCTGATTTAAAAAACTGAAAACTAAATTTACTCATTTTTAACAGGTAATTAAATGCAGTTGACTTTTACAGCTGTGTAAAGAAAAACAGTAAGGAAACTAAAAAATGGCCAGGAATTAATGGAAATCTTTCACAAATTATAAGCATAAAATAGATAAATGGTTTAAGACAACATGCCATGCATGTGTTATGAAATATGATAATTATATAAGGGAGATATCGATGGCCAAAAGTTAAAATTATAGCTTACAAAAATATGGCAGAAATTACATTTTTGGGCAAATATACATGCTTTATGCGGTAACCAAATTAGCCAAATTTAGCAAGACTGCCAAATCAATGAAAACTGAGAAAATGAAATGAACATTAGTTGACAAAGTGTAAATATTGATTTTTGGAAAAATACTATGGAGAAAAATAGCAGCAAAATTATATTATTGGAAATAAGTGAGATAAAAATTCACTGAATAGCCAAAAACATTTATTAAAAGATGAAGTTTACAGAAAGATTTCCTTTTTTTTTAAGTTAAGTTATTGAAAATGTTTCTTGGAAATTCATCAGTAGACAAAATACCCAGTTGTTTTTCATAGGCTTGATTCTGCCACACAAGTCATCCACTAAAAACAAACCAGAGAAGAAAGTTATGAAGAAAGATGGATTGAATTCCAAAGAGGGAATTTTCCTATTGATCAAGTGCAGTCGTAAAAATAAAAATTTCTGATCATAGAGACTGAGCCCAAGCAGTTATAAAAGAGTATAAATGTTTGGAAACCGAGGCTTAAACCAGATGAAATAGAATTACATTTGGTCTCGGCGAACAGTGCAGCACTGTTCTCTGTTCAAACCAAATTCAGAGCTTATTTTTTTCACAGAAGTTATTCTGCATTTGAAGATAGAAATATATTTGTTGTTTTTAAATTTAAATTGATCCTTTTTACTGATTTTTTTTTTTTTTATTAAGGCTCAAAATGCAGTATCTTTGTCTATTTGTACATAGGTTCCCATTGTTGTCACCTTCATTTGTCCTATGTTGTGTATTTTAGTATCATACTTGCTTAACCTGACTTGCGACTATCAGGTTTTTTTACATTGTCTGCACAGCCTATACATATTTAACCTTCTCTTTTTTTTTTGTAACGTTTCATCTTGTTTTATCTCATCGTTTTGACGTAGTTTTTTTTTTTTTTTTTTTGCTTCAAGCAGTGTAAACATGTTTGAGTCAGTACGTTCATGCTCACCATATTAAAGGTGTTATGATCACAAACAAAAGTTTCAATCTTCTCTTTTGTCATCTTTTTCACACCCACAGGGGGCAATGACTTCATCCAAATAATTTTATTTCACAACAAACTTGATCATGCACAGTAAAATACCTGAGGGTCACACAATGTGCTGACACCAGTCGTACAATTGTTATTGTATCATCACTATCATCACTAAAAGCTGGAGAAATAAATTTAAGTCCTAAATTCACTTGAATATTTCAGAAAGCTATGTATCTGTAGTAGCTATGTTAATAAATGTACAATTAATGAATAGAAAACGATGTGGTGAGAGGCTAGAAATGTGCCAAAACGGAGATATAGCTAAAATAATTATACCAATATTAAAACTATTACCATTGTCTTTGCATTAAAGAGAAAAATATTTATCGACCCTCAAAAAGTAGCTACCAAAAAAATAATAAGAGCCAGTAACTGGCAGCTAAAAGACTCAATAGAGAAGAAACAATGGAGATTGTTAACAGAATTAGCTTAGCTTAACAAACATGAGTTATCTGCCAGTTGGAAGTATTTTCACTCTAAATTAAACTTAATTTGTTTTGTTTAATACCTAGTAGTACCTTTACTTTATAAATACTACCTGACCAAATTATAAGGCCACTATCATAGACGTAGATAAATGTAAAACTGCGATGCTATTAATATGGTAATATAGTTTTGTTTGTTGTAGGCTCGGTCTGTGTCCACCAGATGTCCTCGTTCAGCTAGTGTTTGTGTGCCGTAATTTTTCATCCTTTGCTCTTGTTTTAAAAACCTTTCAATAGAATCTCACAATGGTTCTGCTTAACTAGGGCAAATTAAATTTCTACAACCTGGGCTTTTACTTCAATTATATATTCAATGATAGATACTGTATATATGTATTCTCAGAATTCTTACGTTAAAGTGTGAAGGGAAAGTGTGACATTGGTTTATGTATTCCAATTAATAACGTCATTAGAAGTTATCGCACGTGCTACACACTACTAATCAGAGCATGGTTAGTGAGTAGGGGGAGTGGAGTGGGGGAGAGAAGACGAGGGGAGGGAGGGGAGAGTGGGAAGGAGGTGCAGAGAGGAGCACTGAACAGGAGAGAGGAGAGGATAAAGGAAGGGAAGAGGTGAAAAGAGGAGAGCGCTTTAAAAAGTAGACTTTCACCGAAAACGTCTACTTTCTATATTGATATTAAACGCACCTCGTGCATCACGTGGTGGAGCGTCGTTTCCCCTGGAGGAGAGAAACCCACGTCACTTAGTCCAGGCTGTCGTCACAGGAGACAGGGAAGCAGCTCTGGTCATGACCTTACACACCTAGTGATTTATTCACCTTTAAACTGAAGGGTTTGAAGTTTAATGCGGTAACGGCAGCGGAGGAGGAAACACCCCGTAGCGCTGACCGGGGTCGTCCTGAGTTTGTGGTTCACTTGCATGAAGAGGAATCTAATGAATGAACGAGTTGCGTGGATTTGGGCTGAATTCACTCTGTGGGCTTGATGGATGTCGACACGGTCACTGTGAACAAACAAACAAACATGTACGTGGGCCGAAAAAGAAGGAAACCAGTACAAAAAGGGTGTGTTCATTGTTATTTTTATTCTATTATTATTGTTGTTGTTATTGTGTCGGTTATTTTTGTATAATACATGTCAAGCTGCCTTTAATGGAAAAGGAAATGGAAGAAAACGCAGGTTTTTGAGGAGAGGAGTATTTTGTAAGTTATTAATTTCTATATATACTTTATATGGAGAAATAAGTATAATTAAGTAGTTTGGCTTTTTTTTATAATTTGGCATTATTTTGTACCCACCCTCAAACCAAACTAGGGACTTGCTCTTAATTTGGATGACATTAATTGACATTTTCCTTCCAAAATAACAAACTGTAAAACTTAAATATCTGTTTTGAAGTGTTTGGTCAGTATCTTCAGTTGGATTGTGTTTGTTTTTTGGTTCCACTTTATTGTTTATTCACACATTGTTCTGTCCATCTGTTTTTTTCA